AGGTCCCGTCCAGCCCTAATGTCTATGAAATCTATGAAAGGCTACTATGCTCTGTAGAAGATATTTATAAGCAGGCCCTTTCTTGTATCACCTACCAAATACTTGGCTACTATGTATAAAAAAACACTTCATTTTATATATAGTGTGAATTGAAACAGCCAGAAAGCAGCAACTTTGATGTTTCCAAAGAGTACACCTTTCCATCACTCAGCTTTACAGAATAGCTAATGACACATTGTAAAAATAAAATAAAGGAATTAATCAATAGTGTATTCGAAGCAGATGAGAGGGTGAGAAAGGCAAGCAATAAAGAGGGATTTCTTAGACTAAGCCAGGCTGATCACTGAAATCAGATTAGCACCTTCTGTTACTTATTTCTGAACATTCCGTTCTATTTAAAACAGCTGTGACAGCAGACAGGCCTGCATGTCGTGCAAAAAACCAATTAGGCCTTACCAAAGGGAAGCCATTAAATGCTCCCTGTTGTCTAAAGAGAGAGGAAATATTGTTTTGGAATCAGTCTTGTATTGGATTCTTAATATAAAGTTCAGATCAAGCCAGCACAGTAAGCTCCGTCAGCTTAGCACGATATTGTGCTACACCCTCAGCTGATACAGGCCTTCCTTAGTCAGCATTTCAAGCTTTTCCAAAATCCGATAAGTATTGCAATGGTTACTGTTGCATAGGGTAAGAGAAGTAATGGAAGAAGAAAGCTAACTAGCACTTGAACTGAAAGAGAGGCTGCCTTGCATTCTCGTTGCTAGTTACTCTCTATGGAAAGGAGAACCTGGATGCTCACTGGCTTTTAAGTACAGCAGCAGAGTATTAGAAGTTATTGGCCAGCTTTGTTCCTATGTTTCTCTTGCAGGGAAAAGAGATCAGTGACTCTATGCTTACAAGAGCAGAATAGGCAGACACCATATATCAAGAGCTACCCAAAAATAGGATTAAAAACCAACCCTAAACACAGCTGAAGCACTGAGTAGAAGAACCCACAAAGTCTTGGCAGCCTGACTAAAGTTTGACCACTTTCTCTTTGATGGTCTGCAGGAATATTGGCAGAAGCTTTTTTATTCGATTTTAGCTTTTCATAGAATCTATTTCCTGTTTCTGTCACACAGGAAATTGTCAGAATCTGATTACAGGAAACTGCTTTTAGCTATGTAACCCAATGCATGACATGATAAATAAGCAGTCTGATGTAAATAGAGAAAATGTATTAGCAAGTACTAAATACATGTGCAGTAACAAGAATTACTGTGCAGTAGTGCCGGCAAATCTTTTAAGTGGTGCTTCGGTGCAGTAAACTAATAATACTGCACAGTAGCATGTTAGCACAGTCCATACTGTGACATACTACTGTGTAGTATTTTTTGGTTACTATGCAGTTGGCATCTCATGTAGACACACCAACTGAGCATCTTTTGTAAAGCTTCTAGAAGCAAGGGGACCCATCTGGGTTGTGGAAGACGTGGGTTCAGATCCCTATTCCTGATTCAGAGTCTGTAATTGATCACTTTTTTTCCTCTCTTCTTCTACCCATTTCCTCCTACCCTTCTTGTTCCCAGATAACTCCGGGCCTGAGAAACCCTTCTCAGTGAAAGTTTCATTGATCCGAACACACTTCTGTAAAACAATTCGGTTTTAACAAATCCAACAAGACACTATTTTGCCAAAAAATTCTGACTAGGTCAGGTAGGCACAAGTTTCATAGACCAACTATGATAAATGAAACAGAAACATTGCTCATGTAAGATTTCAGTCAATATGAGCCAATCTTAATAAAAAGCATGCTCATCCTATGGGCTGGATGCAAGTAGGAATAAAACAAAAGAGAGGACAGACATATATACCTTGAAACACTGGATCTTTTTTTTTGAATCTTCCAGCTGCTGCTGTAGGGATCCCACTATTTCTTTATATCTAGTGTATCTCTCTTCAATCATCTCTCTCTGGCGATACATTTCCTGGAAACACAATGAAAGGATTGAATATTTTTGCAAAGTGAAAAACAGCTAATGAAAGAAACTTATTTTGTTACTATAAATGAAAATATCACTAACAGATTTTCAGAAGAGTAAATACTAGCTTTTGGAGCTAGAAATACATGGAACATGCTGTCTTGCTGCTGATCAAAGAGAGCAGCTTAGTACAGAATACTCATGTTAAGAGTCATAGTCTTCCTCCTTGTTAATTAATATTGTTTAAAATAAACTATTTCTTACATCTTCCAAAAATAAATTATGCCATGGCTACTAACAGAGCAATTTAGTTTATTTTTTTAATGGGAAAAACAGAATTAAATTTATTTACATATAGCTGCATTAAGAAAAAGACGTTCTCCACATACATGGAAACAATACCTTGAAAATAAAATAATAATAGTAATAATAATAATGATGATGCAACAAATACACACATAGCAAGCTAGCCAACCTTTCGCCCCAACATTTTAGTCATAGTAGTTACAGGCAGCGTTCCCTCTAAGCTGTGTGGCATGTGCAGTCGTGCAGGTGTGCCTGGCAGCTTGGCATGAGCGCACCTGCATGGCTGCGCACACCGCACAGCTTAGAGGGAATGCTGGTTACAGGAGAATAAAGATGAGTTCTATTCTGGTCCAAACTTCACAATAAGATTTGTTATCTAAGTTCCTATTTCAGAACTTTTAGAAGTGATCATGATATGAGAAGTAGAAATAATCAGTTTTGCTTTCAGATTCCAGATTTAATTCTCAGTGTTCCCAGTTAAAAATCAAGCCGTTTGAATGGTGACTGACCAAATTTGTTATAAAATAAAAAAGAATGAACAATCAGAAGCACACAATGCCATTTTTATCACGGCAGTTATTAGAGCATTCCTATAATCTAAAAGTCCTAAAATCCTTAGGAATAAAATAACTAGTAAAAAGATTTAGCTCCATCTTGGTTTTCCACAGCAGATATAAGCATTTTCCAGAGTTTACAGAAAATATATTAAAAATAGAGGTCCTGTCTGTTCTATATGGATATTATAGAGTTTATTTTGCTTTTCAGAAAAGTTTAGAATTCTTCCTAAAAATTTCCCTTTCTTTGTAGCTGTGCAAAATACTTCTTGCATGTTTGTTCCCTAACTCTACCTATGGCTACATTTCAGTTCTGATGTGTTTAAATACCCAAAACACCAACAAGCCTAATATTAGATTCATTTGATATCAACCCATCACAGCACCCCTTTGAAGTAGGTATCACCCAAATTCCACAAAAAAAGGAGACCTATGTACAGTCAAGCTAAGTTTCTTGTTCGCAGTCAGAAAGTCAGAGCAAGAAGCAGAGTGTGGGATGCTGATTCTGATCTGATACATTTAGGTTAAATCAGAACTTGAGCTGACTGAAGAATGAAATCTTGTTGGCAGCAACTTTTAAGGTTTCCAAATTAATTTTTGTTCTAAATGGCTAGGGACAGACATTCAAAAAGTCGGAGCCTGAATTGATTCAACCTTTGCAGGTTAGTTTAACCTGCCTAGGCTGAACCAGTTTGTAACAGGACATTCTCTCTGGACTGAGACCTTGCAGGCACATGCCTGTAGTTGCTCAGGGCAGGCACCGGGGGGCACTAGACCATGCCCTCAGCTGCAGGGAAGCTGTGCTGGGGAGGCGTCACCAGTCTGGGTTGAACTGGCCAGAGAGGGGTTTAATTTCTCCCTCTCTATCCCACCAGCGGGGACCCGAGGTGGGTCTGCCGGGTGCTCCCCATTCACTGCTGCAGCAGCGGGGCACCATGGCCCCTGAGGCACAGAGGGGCAGGGAGGACAGTTAGTCTGCCCTCCACCCCCACTGGCATACAGGTCTGCCCGCTGTTGCCACTGCACTCCCTGTCCTGTAATAGGCCCCCTGCTAATCCCAGGGAAGAACCCCTGTCCCTGGCCCCCACCCCAAGGCACCCTGCCAGCCAGCATCCGACTGTGCCCCCACCCTGCCACTGCAGCGGGAGGGGGCAGGGCCCTTGTTGGGGGCAGCAGCCCCTGTCATAATGTGGGGGAGTGCAAGCCCCTTCCTGGTGGAGGTGCTGCACTGTGGGGCCAGCAGAGCTACGGCAGGCTGCATGTGGCAACACTAGGATCTGGAGTGGGCCAGAGCCCTGAGAGCCCCCCCCAGTGCTGCCACGCTCCACAGCAGCCCTGCCTGCCCTGCAGAGAGGCCCCTGCCAGGAAGGGGCTCGCGCTCTGGGAAGCCATGATGGGCTGCTGCCTGTCACGGTTACTCACTGCTCACCATGCCAGCAGCTGGAGCGGCGAGCAGTGAGTGACCAGGACAGGTAGCAGCCCGTTATGTCTTCCCAGAGCACGAGCCCCTTCCCAGTGGGGGGCTGCTCTGCAGGGTCAGTAGAGCTGCTGCAGAGTGCGGCAGCACTGTGGGGGGCTTGCAGGGCTGTGGCCCACTCTGGACCCCGGTGCTGCCGCATGTAGCCTGCCGCAGCTCTGCCAGCCCCGTAGAAGTGCCCCCACCAGGAAGGGGCTTGCACTCCCCCACATTATGAGAGGGGCTGCTGCCCTCAACAAGGGCCCTGCCCCCTGCCGTTGCAGCAGGGGAGAAGCGGGGGGGCAGCAGGGAGTGCAGCAGCAAGGGTGGCCAGACCTGGCTGCCAGTGGGGTAGAGGGGAGACTAACCCTCCTCCCTGTCCCACTCTGCCTCAAGGGCCATGGTCTTCACTGCTGCAGCAGCAAGGAGGGAGTGCCCGGCAGACCTGGCTTGGGTCCCTGCAGGTGGGATACAGAGTGGGAAATTAAACCCCTCCCTGGCCAGACCTACACCCCTGCCTGTCCCTGCTCTGGCTGGGGAGCAGAGAGCCCAGCCCAGAGAGCATGCCAGGATGCTGGGGGGGTCTCTGGTTTAACTTAAACCAGCAAAACAAAAGCAGAATGTTTGAATGTTTCAGTAAAAATCATATAAATTGGTATGAGAGCAACATGAGGTTATGATACTGCTTGTAGACGTGAGGAGACCTAGCTTCAAGTCCAAACTCTGACTTGTTCAGAACAGAATTTCTCAGCCTAGAGTACTTCAATGTAGCAAAAGCAGGGACCTGAACCTAAGTTTTTTACATCCCAAGCCTATGTCCTACCACTGGGCACAACAGTGTGGAAGGCAGTCTCTCTCTAAAACTCAGAAAAAATATTGATGAAGCCTAAAATGGAACATAATGTAACAACTCTCTTTCATCAAAAATTTACTTAATTGAAGCTATTCTGATAAGCTGTACATTACTGAAAACAGCAAATACACTATGTAAAACAAAGACAAATTCTACAACAACAAGAATATGGTCCTAGCCATATACATCTTTTAAATGCCTGTGAATTCCTTAAGATGAAAGATTCTATATGAAAAACAAATGCAAATCATTACATATTTTCCCTAATGCCAAGTTAAATAATTCTGATTTAAACAGGGTTGTGTTTTTTGGGGGTTTTTTGGGTTTTTTTTGTTTTTGGCTTTTTTCTGCTTTTTATTTATTTTTGAGTTACTGGGTTCCCAACTCTCCTTTAGAAAACAACTGATTCCAGGAATAGAATTTCCTGATTCTCATGAATGTAGAAGAATTACAGCATTGTAATTGATCTAATTTTAGATCAATTACCAGCCTTAACAGTCTCCCCCTTAAGGCTGTCAACTTGCCCCATAAAGTCAAAATTACCATACATCTTGATTTGGCAGCTCTGCTGTAGGGGGAAAAAGCCATTCTTGTTGACATTAGGTAAAAGTAGTATAGAAACCATATAAACAGATTTCCTGTAAGGCTCAGCTATTTCCTCTTACTACTTTGGAGGCATTAGGAAAGTATTTTAAGAACTACGATGAATGCATTTAATTGCAGTGTTTTAAGTGAGTTTTATTGAAAATGATTAAAACACAGCAACCCTCCACACTGCAAATCAGCAGCATGGGGAATGCCTGCATGTGCACTCTAGTAAATCCATTTTTACCTCTGTGCTGCTATACACGTGCCTAACACTTTACAGGCAAAACAAGATGACAAGGGCTTTTCATTCCAAAATATATGTCACCCAAGGTATATGGAGGGTAAACATATAAGCACTGCAGCTGTCTACAGACATGAGCCCCCTTCCCCCCTCCCCAAAAATGGCGCTTTATTTTCAGCTTAGCACACCCCCACACTGAGCACAGTGCATGCCCATAACAGTTTCTTTGACCCGGCTTGCCCAACATCTGTATAGATCGGGTGCTTCAGCAGGACTTTTTGGCACTTTTATTGAATAGATGATTGAATCAGCTTTTAGATAAAAGTGCCAAAAAGCCCCACTGAAGCGTTCAGTCTACACAGATGCTGGGGAACCAGGTCAAACTAATGCACTTTCTCTTCTGGTAAAGTGCTGTTTTGTTTTGTTTTTTCACATTGTACTCTGCACCCAATCAACTATGAACTGGTTTTTGACCTTTGAATACAATTTCAAACCCCTCTTCTCTCTTTCCTTTAGGGATATGATGTGACTGTGAACATATATTATATTTGTAATGCTAAAAGTGCCTCAGTAGCACTACTAAAAGTTGAGCCCTACCCTCCCCCCACATAGAGCTACAAAAAAAGCACGAGCACTACAATAATGTCAGAGGCGCTATACAAGTGATTCTGTTTCAAACAACAATTTCCCTGTAGCATTATGTTTTGATAGCTCATTGCCCTCCACAGGAAGTTGACTGACTGTCTGCTGGAGGGGAGAGCAGGCCGTCAGTGATGGGGTTCACTGCTTGGACCCCTGAGGGACATGTTGCAGCCTTCTATCATCCCATGGCTGGAGAGCACAGCACTGCAGCAACTTTGTGGTGCACATATGCATGCCCTACATAATGTTCTATTTTTATAGCACTGCAAAACACTGAGGGCACTTGTAGTGCTATATATAACAGCTGGCAATAGCCTCTGTTAGGTGCTTTAAGGCAGTGTGTTTGAGAGTTTGAGAAATTATACAAATTGTAAGTGAAATCCTCCTTGCCTTTTTCACAAGAATAGTTCTGAACTCAGTCAGAGTATCAATATGAGCATGGTAAATTTATCACATTACTACTATAATTCTCGTAATCATTTGCAACAATCTCTTTTGGATCTGGGACAGAAGCTCAATAAGCCAGTTTAATCTAAATCAGTTCTCTGATACTGCATCCATCCAGGTTGATCTTACACTGGTTTCGGCCACTTTGAAAGCAGTTTATGTGCACTGAACTTCTGTTGTGTTTCAGATTTGAACTAGTTTCCAATCACTTATACCAGTTTATGTCTAACTTCTAGTCCTAGCCTTGGTAGCACAACTTAGTGGCAAAAGGCAATAGCAGAACGGTAAATGCTCTAAGGATGAGGCTGGGAGCACTAAATTCATTCTGTTGGGCCAGGAAGCAGCAAAACACTTCAGTGTATGTTTAATTTTAATCAAATACTTTAATCCATCCATACGAAGTAAAACAGTTACCTTTTACTGGAACTTAAGCAAATGCTTCAACAGAATATGAAGTGTTTTGCTGAACTGGGGCCTCGTGACTCAATTCATATTTGAAAAATTTGTTAAATAGACTATAAAAGACCTGCATCACCTATTGAAGCTTTCTGTAGAAGGCCTTATTACATTAAGTTGTTGCAAGAAAAGTAGGAGTTTACATTTATAGAAAGCAGTGTTAGCGATACTGTATTTATCCATTTTGCATACTGAAACTTCTGCATGGTTTTTTTCTTCTACATGAAAGTGTGTTTACCCAATATAATTAATGAGCTTGAGACTCAAACAGCTTTCTTGTTGATTACACAGTTTTCAGAGTCTTATCAATAAATGAGTACTGTGGATTCACAGCCCATATCAGCAGACCTTACTTTGTATAACACTGCAGGGAGAGGTATGTGATGTTAAGTCTCTATAAAACAAACAATAACTTGCCTCTTTTTAATGATTAACATGATTCATTTCAGAAACCACCATCACTGATCAAAAGCACGTTATAAAAGTATTTTGAACAGCTGGTGGAATACAAGGACCAGAAATATTACACTCACTTACGTATGTTTGCTTAAACTGAAGGCTTTACAGTGTAGAACTCCAGCATTTCCTCTGCAGTACAAAGCTAAACTAATTCCCCAAGAGTAGGAAAATAAAACCTACTAAAACTATAAGAGTAAGAACTAGAATACTACAGTTTGGATTTCGTCACATCAGCCCTAGTAGCTGATTTCTTCTTGCATGTCAGAAGGATGTCAATTGTCCTCAATAATTCAGAACTACAGAGAGAGACAAGTCAAAATTTTCTCACTCCAAAATCTTTGAAATCTTCTAAAAGGCTGAGTTTCTCGGGAACAGACTCCAGATGGTCTAAGGCCACTCGGGTACTCTGAGAAACAGAACACAAGAAGAAAAAAAAAACACATAAAAGTTTAATCAATGCTTTCAGCCCTTCTCTAAAGTCAAAAGTACTAAAAATCATTTTGCACCAATGTGAACATACAGCATATATGTAAATACCTGTGCCTGAGTGTATGTGTCAGTAAACTATACAGTCAGCAGAGCTGCTATAATAGCAAAAAATAAGAACACAACTCTTGAGAAATAGCATCCTTGAGCTTCCATAAAAAAATGAATCTACTTCCTGATCACAGCAATTATTATTAAAAATGGAGTTAGTTTCTAATTTCATTGCTTCACCATTAACAAGTAAAATAGATTTAGTCAAAATATTAATCAGCAAACTTGCAATGGCAGTTTTTACATCTGTGTGTACTCATGTAAAGGCAGAAGTTAGACAAATGGTTGTATTTGATAAATACTCAACATTCCACACATTTCCATTTGAAATAAGTTACCTACTGATAATTTACTTACTGCTTACAAATATTTGGGCCCAGAATCAATAATAATAATACATATAGGATTTCATTTCTAGACTAATAGTTCAAGGCAAGAACAACTAAAGACCCTGTAACAAGGCAAGAACAACTAAAAACAAGTATGCAGCATGATCCAAGGAAGAGCACGGCCTGAGTAAATGGTGTATGAACTTGTACGGAGTAGCCACCTTCATTCAGCCAGTGTCCTTTGGAGGTCCCCTAAAGCTGCCCACCCATTACTTGCTGAGAGGCAGGTAGGAGCTTCACTCCTTGTGCTTTCTGCAGCACTGGCACGGGTGATATAAATTTCAGTTTTCTGCATCAGGTCCTCTTAGCTCATTCATAATCTATAAAGCTACCAATAATAGGCATCATGATCCTTACTGCTAAGATGCCAATTTGAAATACAAACCAAAATTAAGCAAAAATCCATAAGCCAAATAAAATAATAAACTTCTGAGTCAAATAACATCAGGCCTTGAAGGGTGTACAAACTTCACCCACAACTAAAGAAACTTTCCTGCCAGTCCTAGGAAATTCAGCTCACCAGATGGACAAGAGCATTCTAGCTGTGTCAGAGACCAAGGTTTTAAACAGTGAACCCAACACCCCAAAGGTAAAGCTAAATATTTCAGAGCACAAATGTTACTTGCTTAATGCAACCTGCCCTGAAAGGCTGCATTCTGTATCAGACAAATCTCCCTTCCAGTTTTTCAGGGTCAACTAATTTTATAGTAGTACAGAATGTAATATGGCAAATGCAGGAAAAATTATTCTAAGGTCAGCACTAACAAGGAAAATATACACCTTGTTGGATAAGCAAAGACTGAATAAAACATTCTCTATGGGTTGCAACTGTTACCAAAACCAATAAATCCATACTCAGGGTTGTTGGGGTTTTTTTCTGCATGAAGCAAAAACAATAAAGAATGCAGTTTCTCAATAGCATATAGTTAAGAAGTATATTTAGGAATCATATCTCAATCACCTAACAGACAAAAAAAAAAGCCTGTAATGGCAAAGGGACAATTGAGCAGATACTTAGATGGCAACTCAAGAAGCAATATTATAATTATTTATACTGCAGTAGTGAATGGAGGCCACAGATTAAATTTTCTAGTGTGCCAAGTACTGTGTATATGCCCGCACACATACATGCCAAGACTGTCCTTGGCCCAGAGAGCTTAAAATCTTAGTAACACCATGTCTTTTAATGTACAAAAAGAAAATGTCAACAAGTGCAACATGTCTAGCAGTGTAGATGAGTTATACAAGGCAACTACAGCATTTGTTGAATGTTGTTTTTCTTATGTGTAATTAAATGGACCATCAGCCCCCAATCTTTGAACACCAGTAAATGCTTCCATTGATTTCAAGATGCAGTTTAAACAGTTCTCCTTTTTAGATTATATATCAATGGGGGGCGGGGGGAGAGGTGCGTGTGTACGTGCGTGCGCCCCGACAGCTGGGGGGCACAGCAGCAGCGGGAGTGTGGCGGCGGTAAGCGGGAGCTCCCACAGACACCGCCAGTGCTGGTGGCGGTGGGAGGGGGGTGGCAGTGCACCCCCTTTTTGTAGGGGGTGCACTGCCACGCTCAGCGGGTACACATGCACCCCCTACTTGTTCCCCCTGTGTGTGTGTGCGTGTATAGATATAGATATAAATTTTACTGACTAGTGGAAGCCTTTGTGATGACCTAATGCTTGATAAAAATGAGTACAGAGCTTCAGGTGTCTTCCTGGAGCAAATGTCAGGAATGGAGGTGTTCAATAGGAAAGTCACCAGTCACTTAGGCTCTGATCAGCTGCACGTGAATACTATCATCAATGGTTCCATTTTAGTAATATTTCAGCATACCCTGCAATCTGTTTAGACACATATTAAAGACAAAAGTGTTGCCTCTTTTGATCTTTTGGTTGTGGAAACAAACAGCTATGGGGATCTCTGGACAGGTTTACTTTTGTGCTGGTAAAAGAATAAGCTTTACTTCACATCCAGCTTGTGTAGTGATGCTTCACATCTCAAAGAATGTGGTTTAGAAAGAAGATTGCTAGAGGAATCTGATGACTAAAGTTGCATTCTATAACAAACTTGAATAAATACTCGAAGTGAGCCAATAAAAAGACCTTTCTCTAGGCTCACGTGACCTCTTGTACCAAAAAGTTGGGATTACAGTGGCTTGTGTGAGGTTTTTGGCCACTAAGTGCCTCTCCTCAAGTAGGGTAGCAAATGCTTCTTCCAAGTCTACCAGAATTTAATCAGTAAAGGATAGCAGGCACTCACAGATTCTAAAATTGTACTGAACCACTACTGACCTAGTAACTGGCCGTTCAAATTAAAAGCTAACAGAGTACCACCTTCTTTCTCAGCAAGAGCAGTTCTGTTCAGATTTTCTCTTTCGAGATTCTGTGAAACTTTTCAGTTTCCTAATTGGCTTCACTGACCACCAATGGTATAGAGTCTACACAAGAAATATCTGCACCCTTGGAAGGTACTTTATATCTGCTTGTCAACCTTCCAAACATCTAAGTGTTCCCCCCAAAATTCTCGCAGCATCCCTTATAGCCTCACTGATAAGGAAAGCTACTTTGCTAGATGCAGAGTGCTGTTAAGGTATCTGTGCATCTATAGGCTTTTCAATCCCCTGCATCGGAATTTGCAGAAGCTTGAGTCACCAGCTTCACGATGTCTTTGAAGCCCTAAAAAATGTCTATCTGTGATGGTGAAGGAAGGACAACTGCTTCACGAGGGAAGGAGACAGGTGGGTTAGGATGAGGCATTTCCCCCCTCCACACACACATCCTGGGAATGGATCTAGAGATTCCTTCCATTCTGGGAAAGTAGGATCTGAAGACTGAGCAAAGGCAGCCTGTGATGCTGAAGCAGATGAACACAATCATAGATAGTAAGACTTGTCACTGTGGAGTCTCTCTCTACATGGGTCTCATGGCCAAAAGGATAGCATAGAAATGTTAGAGAAACATCTCTGAGATCACTGAATTGAAAATCAGGAAGCCTGAGGTAACAGTTTGGAGATCCAAGGCTCCAAAGAAAAAAGATAACTACACCGAGAACCACAGCCACTTTCAGTCAAAAGAGGTATCTGGTGAAAAGACTGCAACTGAGTCCTAATAGGCCTGGCACTAGGAATCATTTCCTGAACAAGGCCAATGCTGGTGGCCCTGTACAAGCACATCTAGGGAAAGCTGCCTGTCAAACTGCCTGGTTGAGAGGGGTCTTTAAGAAGTTGGAGATGGAGATCTCTCTCAGGAAATATTTCTAGTTCTGTATTCTGAAGGAGGATTTCTTTGATGCTTTTGGTGAAAGTGGTTTCCTAAAGAGAGAATTCATGCTCCTGGAAAGTTTGTGTCCACTTAAGCCTTAAGCTCCAGGGTCAGAGTTTGACCCTAAAAATTTACCCAGCAGGTAAATCTGGATTCTAACCCTGAGTCCCTTCCTGGTCAGGAAGTGACTGACTTCAGAATAGCATACGCTCCATGGATAGAAGATTCCCAATACAAGAAGTATTTAGTGTGCCCATATGTGGCAGAAAGGAGAAGTGCTTGAGTTCTGGAGGCCTGTGGGAAACATGTCAATAATAAAAATCAAGGGGCAAATGGATCCTTACGTAGCTAAAGAAACCCCATAGCACAGGTGAGGGGAGACTAAAAAAGGTAGAAAAAACAAGGGTAACTAACTGAAGGTCCAAGACCAAGGAAAAAAGTGAAGAAAGGTGTGTTCTGAGAATAGCCGCAGGCCAAAAATGTGGTCTGCACTAGCATGAAGAAACTCTATCCTGAGGCAACATGGCTAGAAGGAACAAAGGAATGGATAGTTCATATGTCCCTTTATGCCCTTGGTTCAGATCATTAGGAGAGGGAGAGTGCATGCACAGCGTATGGGTACTGCTAGGGCAAAAAGTCTCTGAGTTGGGAGTGTTTGAGGCACATACGCACTCACAGCAGAATTAATATGAATATAGACAAACCCTTAAATGAGAACTATATTTCACAGTTTTTGTAGGCATGCCACAAATCAGCCCTGCACCATCTCGAACTGCTATTCTGATCTCCTTCCCCTGCCTAATCTGTTCCTTTGCTTTTTGCTTTCTGCCTTATCTGCCACTGTGCTACTTGCCCCTGGCCTGATTTGCCAAACATGGAGGCTGCCCGTGCCACTTGTGGTATGCATGCCACAGCTTGGCCACTCCTAAGCTAGATGGTATGAGGCAAGAGACCACCTGGTTCCCATTCTTCTTCAAGTAATTTTCAACCCTTGTCAAAGGCACTTAAGATATCACACATCTAAGAAATAAATATAATATCACATGAAGCACCATATAGTCTGTGTACAACTGTAGTAATTTATTTTAAAACCAAAATCTTCCATTTTTTTCTATAGAAGTGGCAAATGACTTCAGCTTTTATAGCAATGAAGTGAGTTCTACATGCATGCTTTTTGCCTCAGATGCTGAAATATTATGGATCCTTACTGGACTAAT